GAACCCTATTTATTATTTAACTGATAGTGCATAAGAATTGAAATGATGAATAATTGTATTATTGTCATGAGATGATCTTTTTCTTCAACTTAACACAGTCTGAAAAATTTAAGAGGCTGAAAATTTTTAATTTGTCTTAAAATGTGTTTGTCATGTATTTTGAAACATACTCCTGAATATGTGTGTAGTAAGGTTTAGCATTTTAACAAGACAAAAATATAAACTTGTTGGTTGGTTTTTGTTTTGCCTTGTTTTCTTTTTTTAACCTGAGAAATTGGAAATATAACCATGAATAAGATCATTTTCAGATAAAAGTTGAAATGCTGAATTTGCCTTTTTTCCCCCTCCTCAAAAATCAAATAATGCCATTCCTATCTTACAGAATATTAATTAGCAGAGGTTTTTTTTTTGGAAATGGCATGGTGTATGCTCACACAATGACTAAAAATGTAACTTGGCCTGCAGTTTTCTTGCATGGAACAGAATACTCTAATTCAAATCCATTATTAAAATGCAGATAACATGTGCACTTTCTGAAATGCCTGTGACTTCACTCTTTTGATTTTACGTAATTACAAGAGAATGTTCATATGTATTTGCTTTGCTGTTGGCACAGCATTTTAAAATTGAATGTCTGCAGATAGAGTTCATATTTTTCTGTGGTTCATAAGGACTATTACTGGTTTATGTACTCAAAACTTTTGTTGATTTTTAGAAAAAGATATTAAATACTAGTATGCTTTCTGAAATTAATAATTGGTAACTAGACTCTGCTTTTCCACTGAATTACCAAGCAACTTCTGTCAGTTTTACAGCAAAACTTTGAGCTCACTATTTTTCCCAACTTTGTAGCATCAAAGCAGAGATTTTTCTTTTAAACTAATTTCAGTTAACATAAAAATAGGAAAAGCATCACCCACTTAAAAACAGCTTAAATTGCATGTACTTTGTCACTGTAAATACACACGGTAAACATTGACATGACTTCAAATTATTCTTGGGTTGAAAAAAACAAAAAACTGCAGTTCAAAATAAAATTCTGCCTTTGGTCAACATTTTGGATGCAATTCAAAGTTTCTCATAAAATAAACATATTTTAAAGAGTGTTTTGAATCTTACTGCATAATTTCTAGCCAACAGAAATTACAGTGGTATCTTTAAAGTTTATTATATGTCAGATCAATAGCCATTATGCAGGGGTAAAACAACCATTGAGATACAATACCTTCCCGCTACTTAACCCTTATTACCACTACCATTATATGCAGAAAGCGTTCTTTAGGGGATCTTTAGAGAAAACCCTCTCACAAAGTGAAACTTTTTCTTTGTTTGCTTAATAAGAAAGGTATTGTTTTTTGATAAAATAGAGAATGTTTTCAATTTTTAGACAAGAAAGCAAAACGTCCATTAAAACAGTCTTCATGAGAGTTTTTCCATAAAGGGGGGGGGGGGGATAGCTTTACATTCTGATAATAACAAATCATTTTGAAGTATGAGCTTTAAACAAAAACGCCCCATCACAACAGATTGTAAATTTTTTTCTGACGATTTAAAGAGTGCCTCTATCATTTCCAAGGCTATAGTGTTAAAGTGGAGTATTTGTTATTTTATTTAAACATTTTTAAAAAGTGAACATTCTGGGACTTTGCAGCATTATTAAGAAAAGCTGTCCCTACTTCACCATGTTGTTACATGTGTTTATCTGCTGATTATAAAATGTGTTAAACAGTATTTAAAAAAAAAAAAATGCAGAGCTGCACTTTGATTAATTCAGTGAACAAAACATATGCTGTTGGTTCTGTTCTATGAAATTCATATATGATCAATATAATCTTTTCAATGAACTGCTTTGGCTTTTAGGATGCTACTGCCGACCATGGTTTTTGTTCCAGTAAACTCTGAACTCATACTGTTAAGTTAAGTACACAAAACCACTTTCTGGCTATGTCACTAATATCTTTTTAATATATTCTGGCCTTCTTTCTAAAATGTCTTTAGGTTGGAAGCTGTATATTGTGGTTGTTACCCACTTTGTCCTAAGGATTTGGTATATCCGGAAATATTTCCAGGTAGCTGCTTTAATGTCTTTTCTTCTTTGACGAGATTTAATACACGGTTAAGGCTAAATTAGAAAGTTTGAAAATAAACTTAGGCAGGAGAAATTGTTTATTTGGCAAGTCAACATGTTAGTGTTAAGGAAATTTTTATGTGTTTTAATACATTAGAGTAAGCTTATATTTACCATCTGTTCTTTTAAGATAACAAAAAAAGCAAGTTTTCAAATAGCTTTCTTCATTGTTAGCATACACATCCCATAATGATGGGATTTTATAAGCAGGTCAGTATTGCTGCAATAACTTATCTTTTTTTTTTTTTTTAATGACATACACAGAAAAATTGAGGACTAAAATTCACACCAAATTATTTAAACTATTGACTAGTTAATAATATGCAACTGTTGTACAGGGTACATACAGCTATAGTACCAGTTCTTTGAAAATATTCTCATCACTAAATAGATCACATATGCATTGTGTTACATTAGAATAATGTATTTTAATCACCCAAAGGAGATGTCTAAACATCACAACTACACAGTCTTATTTAGCATTAAACATCCTTGTGAGCTGAGGTAACCTTATAAAATCATGCTTAAATAATGTAAAACACGAGGCGGCACAGAGCAATATGCATTTTTAATTAGTAAAGTGACTAATATCGAGTGTGTGCTTTGAGGTTTTTGTTTCATTAAAAATGTATCTGTTTTTCCTGCAGCTGAATATCTGTATTCTACACCTGAACAGCTTTCAAAAAGGCTCCGGAATTTCTGCAAGAGACCAGATATTATAAGAAAACATCTCTATAAGGTAGTTATTGAGAAGAGATTTACGTGGTATAAATGGCATATTGAAGTACAAAGAAAAATCTTTAAAAAAAAAAACATTTAATTAACATACTAATGTTTAAAGGAAACATGCTAGGGAGGCATATTAGTTGTTACACTAACAAGGATTAATTAAACTGAATGCCAGTTGTATTAACCTAGGTCTTATGAAATACGTACACTTAATGCACAGTACATGCTTTTTTAAAAAATTTATTGTTTTCTAAGATGACTGTCCTTTACATTTTGCCCCAAGAGGCTTATAAAAATGAACCTGGATTAATGTAACACATTAGTTTAAAAGGAAGTAAAGGAAAGATTCTACAATTATACTAATGAGTGTAAGCCACTCTTCCCACCACAATGAAATCTTCAGTCCTCAAAACTCCAGGTGAATGACATGACTGATGTTTGGTGTTTCTTTGTGAAAGACGATTTTCAGGAATCGAGTATTTGCATTGGCGATTTAATAAAATAATGCAAAAAATCCTTGGTTTATTTAGATTTAGACTGCCAGTCTCATCTCTGAATGGCAGAGGCTAAAAGAACATAGTATAAATGGCAGCATCATTTAGTCCCCTCATTCATTGTCTTTTCTCCCATTGTGTGGATCAAGGATTTTGCACTGTTGAAATGACAACACAAAGAGACCTTACTCTAAGTTTAAGTACTCTGCTTTATGAGTGTTGAAGGTAGCTCTAGGCCATGAGCAATATACCTTTTTATGTTCTTTGAATGTAGCATCTTCCTTTTACATAAATTCAGGATAGTTTGCAATCTATCACTTTTATAATCTGGCATATTTTAATTTTCTGATGTTGATATCTAACCTTCCCTCATGAAATACAGTTGTCTGCCTATTTTCTCTCCTTTCCGTTTTCATGTCCTAAAATACATATTTACATAGTGATACATCAAAACATGACTTTGTTTCTGCAGGAAACAGTTAAACTTCAAGAAAAAGGGAGAGAACCAAAAATGCAATTTAACACCCAATTTCAAGCTCATTATCTTTCATTGTCTATTAACTTGGCAATGGTTCAGAAGGTAGCTCATAATAGTTTAAAATGCTGACTGAACACTTCCAGGCTTCAGTATTACTTCTTGAGTCAATACTATTGTAGCCTATACATGGGAAGCTTCACAAGAAAAGCAGACCTCTAAGGTTTACCTCAGTATTTCTTCCTTTTTAAGGTTCAGTAGCAGTTTTGTTTATGTAAAATATTAAGCAAATGTGCAGAACATGGAAACTGAGGAAATAGGCCAATAATTTTAAATGCAAATAGATTTCATTTTCTATATATGACACAAAGCTATTTTCACAGAGTACACAATCAAGTGTTTTGTTTTGCTTCTTTCAGGTAAATTTTTGGTCAGTACTTACAAATGGATTTCCACTTTTAAAGTCTCTCAGCTTTAAACTTTGCTTCAGGTTAGGCCTTATTAACCCTGTTATTCTGCAGCTGTACACTTTAAACCATTTTAATAGTTATTGCAACAAGTTGCCTTTAACTAGAAAAGAAAACAGATCTCTAGTTGAAATATTTTAATGCAGCTATTGCCATCATTCTAAAAATGAGTGTCAGCTTCGTGATATGCTATTGAAAATCTAACTTGTTCCTCATCCAGCTTAAAGGAGAACCTATACCTGCAATGTTATTTCACTGAATTATTGCATCTTAATGAATTACATACATGTTTAGTCTATAAATCATAAAAGGTTCTATCTCTAAAGTTTATAAATTAGTAATTCCTATGTAAGCATTTGTGAGAATTTATATGTGTGAATTGTTTATATATATTTTTTACCTGGGGTTTTTTTCCTTATACGTCTATAGCATATTTTCACAAATCCTCATTTGTATCTAAATAGTGGTCTCAAAAAAAAAAAAAAAAAAAAAAGAGTGAATCCAAGTATTACATACAAGTACTCAAGGACTCTAAAATAAAATCATCAGAAAAACTAGTACGTTGCAAGACATCAGCACAAAGTTAAACCCACAGGAACAACCCCAGTTTTTACTCTGATTATTGTAATAACAGTTAAAGTCAAGCAGAAAAGGAATGCTTTTGAAAATGTCACTATTAAGAGATAATAAATTATGTTATTTATTACCTTATCTTTTATAAGTATGTTCACTTTCAGATAATGTTTGCTTTCACTAAATACTAAGGAATTATTAACCCCAAAGCAGCTTTTCATCTTTTTTCTTTTTTTAATACAGTGGCAGAGGATTCTTTTTGTACAATAACAAGAATTTTCTTCACCCTTTTGTAGAGTTAGTTCATTGGGCAATGCTGTTTTACTGTTATAAAACATATGCTCATAACATCTAAAAAGATACAATGTCACTGAAATCTTTAATTTGCTCGTTTTACATTTTTACACCTTATTGTGTGTGTGTGGTAAAAGTTTATATTTTTAAATCATCTCAACTGCTAATCATATATAGTTCACTTTAGAATAGGGTTTTTCATATGGATTCACACTTCGAAATTTAATGACTAGAATAAGGCTACTAACACTTGGCTTTCTTCTCACATGAGACATTATACTTTCATTATGAGTGAGCGTTTGGGGGCTATAACTCGAAGAAGATTTGAAACAGAATGCTAGTAACTGAAAAGCAGAAACAGAAGTTGATTCTTTTTTTTTTTTTTCTTAAAGTAACTCTTTCTACTATAGAATACTGTCATGATTTCCTACCTGAAATGGTTTCAGGCCTGAAATGTCTAAATTGCTTGTGTTCATGCATTGGTGCATGTTTGCCCTACTCTCTCTCTCACACACATACATGAACACACAAATATACACTTTTCTTAAACCTTTATAGAAATTCAGTACATGCAATTATCAAATATTAGCTGAGCCACTTCTTAATAAGTTTACATTTACAGTTTAGTAATTCACTACAATGTACTTGTACTTTCAGGACCTAAACTATTCTAGTTAGAGGATATACATTGACTATGATACTTACCAAAGATAAAGTAGATTTCACTTCATCTTCAATAGGAAGTTGATATGAGCGTGCATCAAAAAGTTTGTAGAAAAAAATGGAGTTAAAAGGTAGTGGGATTTTCCCACAAACTTTTTGAAGGGCCCTCATATTTGACTCTCAGAGGAGTCCTGGTCATGTAGTGGTTAAAGCATTCAGCTGCTCACCAAAAGGCTAGCAGGAGAAAGTTGTAGCTGTCTGCTTCCTTAAAGATTGTTGTTGCTTTTAATGGCCGCAGAGTCAACTCTGACTCATAGAGACCCTGTATAGGGTTTCCGAGGCTTTAGATATTTCTGGGAGTAGAAAGCCTCATCTTTCTTCCATGTAACAACTGGTGAGCTCGAACCACCGACCTTATTTTGTTGTTGTTAAGTGCTGTGGAGTCAGTTCTGATTCATAGTGACCCTGTACAGGGATTTTAAGGAGCAGCTGGTGGGTTTGAACCTCCAACCTTGAGGTTAGCAGTCCAGGGTTTATCCTACAGCACCACACTAGGACTCCCCAGGATTCACACAGCCTCAGAAATCCTGGAAGGGAGTTCTGCTTTGTCCTTTAGTGTCACTATGAGTAGGAATTGACCAAACAGAAAAGGGTTTGGTTTGTTGTTTGTTTTTTTTATGTATGACTCTCATGGCTAATTTGAATTCAAGTTTCTGAATGTAGCCATAAAATAACCAGCCAGAGGTTAACTTCCTATGTTAAAGTTCTCCTCTCCAACCTGAACAAGTCTTGCTGTTGTTGTTGTTAAGTGCCACCGAGTCGGTTCTGATTGACAGCAATGCTGTATAGGGCTTCCAGTGAGCAGCTGATGGAATTGAACTACCAACTTTGTAGTTAGCAGTCCAGTGCTTCTCCTACAGTACTACACGAGAAGTCTCCGAACAAGTCTAGTAACATAAAATTGTACTTTCTTTGCCTTGTCTTTACTATGTGATTTTACTTACTAAAAATTCCAAACAATTATTTGAAATCAGTACTTCATGTTTTTAGAGAACTTTAGATCATTATGTTATAAATACTTTAGGGAGAAAAAAAAAATTATAGGGACATGCCTTTGTTACCAGTATTGAAAATAGCACAAAAGCACAAATTGAGTGACTTTCTGTGTGGGGAACAAAAGGATGTCCTCCACTCTTTTAATTTTCAAGAATGACCTGTAATTATTCAGATGATGGCTGCTGATTTGTATTTTATTCTCCTCTTCAAGTTCTTACACATTCAAGAAAACTTTTTATAACTTGCTGTTATTTGAGGGAGAGAAGAATTTTCAAATTTCTGCCTAAAACTGATTCCAAACAGTGATTAAGCTTACAATTCAGATTCCATGCCCAGAAAAGCCATTTGTGGTTGTTTTAATTATGTCAGGCTATATCTACCCGAGCCACAGCCGTGCCACTTAAAGTTTTCTTCAAGTGACTGGTCACTTCAGAAACCCCTTTCCATTTGAGCTTATACTCTAGATGTGAACAACGTGTTGCACAGAAACATTAACTCTCCTCCACAAACAGTACTTTTTCTTAAAGAAAAAGAAAACTGAAAAAACTTGTGACATTTTAAGAACTACTAAAAACAGAACCAGCATAATTTAAGACAAAGGCTCAGTCTTAATCTCTCCTCTCTCCAACCTTCCCTCGTCTTTTTTTTTCTCTTTTCTTCCCTTCCTTTAGTCTTCCTTCCCTCACTTCTATTTGATTTGGTTTGTCTGTGGCCTTTCTTAGTAAAATAGAAACAAAACAAAAATTACTTTAGCACCACAGATAACATTCTGAATGAGTAAGATCAGTTACAGCTTTTAGCTTGTCTTTCTCTGCTATTCATTTGAAGTCTGACTTTAGATGATTTTCTTGGCCCCTATATGATTTATCTGTGAAATGGGAAGAATTTTTAAAAGACCTTAATAGTATTCCCCCTGAGCACTGCCATAATGAAATAATGAATATAAACCAGTTTGTAAACTTGAAGCACTTTATGAATTCCACCTAATAGTAATGGTATTTATCTCGTGCCTTTGACACTTAAAAGTGAAATTCACATTAGCAAAAACATGGATTAAGATGTTGTGTATCTTTTGTTTATAAAAGTTAAAGTTGGTCGATAAATGTCGAATAGCTGTCATCCGTAACATAAACCAGGAAATGTGTGTGCAGCAGAGTGTACCCATTTGCAACAACCGTAGCTTTCCCCTGTTGTTGGAATTACAGTTATACTTTAAACCAATCAGATACTGGGAATTCCTGAGATGATGAAATTTGAGAAGCATTTTCTTGGTGGCTTTTTGAAATATAATTGGTCTAAGTTATTCCAATTTACAGGATGAATTTTCAACATACTTTTTTGTTTCTCAATTGTTAATGCTTCTTCATTTCTTTCTCTTCTCTCCCTCCTCCTTACAGGGTGAAATGACTCCGTTTTCTTGGGCAGCCCTACATGGTAAATTCAGGTCTCTGCTTACAACAGAACCTTGGGAAGATTTGTGACAGATGGGGCTAAGTCACAAACTTGCAGCCTAAGGCAGAATCTGTAGAACTTTCCAGAGTGTGCCCATATTTACCTGATCAGAGAGAAAAGAAAATCTGCAGAGGAAGCTGAGCCTGGCTGCTTGTCATAGCTGACACAGAGCCATCTGCCACAAACCTGTGGCGGCTTCAGATCTCCAATCCCTGCCACCACCCCAACTCAAATTAAATACAGATTCCTAGAGACGTTATGATGGTTACACATGTCCTCGGCATCACATGTAGGAGACTGTTCAAAAAAAAATATGTGGCCTGTTGTATAACCGCACTCATGTATCCCATATGTGGTGCCACATTGAATTTCCGGTTGAATCTGTTTTTATCCTTTGTACTGGATGACATGGTGCCTGAATTCTTTCTCTTCGCCGACACGATGGCAGCCAAACTGCAGCTTCAAACGCTCGCACTTGGCTGGGTTTCTACCTAGGTTGCCAGGTTATCATCGGAGCCTTCTTGTGTCCTCAAAGGGCCACAGGGTCTGAAAGGAGGAGCAGAATGCTACTTGACTAATTGGGCAGCCATCTCAGAATTATTTGTGCGAAAAAGGCTGCTTTAGCACTTTTCTTTTAGCAAATTAATGACTCTCCGGCACAGGGGTTTTTAAGTGAAGGTATTAATAAGAGGTCTGGCAGGTATTCCCATGATTCACAGTGTTACATTTGCATTTAATTAATCTTAAAGAAAGTTGCAAGATAAACAGCTGTAATTCGAACAAACATGGGAAGTACAGTAAGTAGATCTATCTCTTCCATAAAATGAATACTGAGGTACTTGCTTTTATTTTTTTAGGGCTAAAACTAGAGAAATAAAAATATATCTAACAATACTAGCTATTTTGATATAAAATATTCTTCAAAATTATTTGTACCCAGCTACAAATACAGTCTTTTCAAGATAAAACACTTATAATTCCAATAGTCACACTGCTGTATTTGTTGATGTAAAGATGTTTTGAACGGTTAGATTGTAAAATAAATTTTTAATAAAGTACCCAGTGCAATTTTTAATTAGCATATCTCATTTACGTATAAGTGTGTACATCTATCTGTCTGTTTTTCACTGAATACTTCCTTGTGTCAGAGACGATGAATACAATTGATTCTTTTCTGGATGAACAAGGATCTGTTTTGCAAATGTTTGCAAGATATTATGACATTTCCAAGATTTTCTTTGCATTCTGGAAAGCAGGAGGTAAACATTTGTAGTCATTAAGGTAAAGTCTGTTGATAAACCATCTTCTGTTTACTGACAGGTAAATTGTAACTTTGCTTGCTTTTGAAATGAAAAACTTCTTTACACTGTAGAGTGAAGAACAGTCAGTCAGAGGTAGCTAGAAGAGGGCCAGATCTGGCACTCTGAATTCGAGGTATATTGAATAAATAGTCTAACAGTTATCTGAGATCAAGTAGACGGGGTTAAAAAAATCCAGTGGAGCCCTTTTGAAAGGTAGCAAAATTGTAAGCAAGAAATAGATCAAGGTCAGGGAGCCAGGTACAACCCTTAGGATAGAGGCAGTCTTGCAGATCAAAGTAACCAGCTCAGAGTCCATGAAGCCTGGGAATTTTAAAGCAGAAACATCAAGTTCTGTCTTTGGACAGAGACTTCTCGCCTTAACCAGTCTGAGATTCATCACAGTCCTGACTTCTAGTCCCAACTCCTGAGGCTGTCACTCAACAAATAACCGCCTCACCCAGAAAACAGAGGACTCGGGGATTATTTCTGAAATACCTCCCAGTCTAAGAACTTGGAATTTGGAAGCTGGCAGATGTGCTCCTTTTGAGAGCAGAAGTAAAGATACGAGTAAGAGGTTCTTCTACACTTCTCCTTGGCAGGGTTTATCATCGAATGAGATGAACTAGACCAGTCCATTTGTTTCAGTCAGATAGGTGCCATGTCACAGATAATGTTGCTCCAAGATAACATTATAATCTCACAGCCAAGAAACACTGTTCACCCTACTATGTTGTTCTAGCCTGAAAATAATGGGCTCAAATTTTATAGTGGATAAGATATTATATGCACAGCAGCTAGTCATGTTTTCTAACAAATGGAAAAATAAAATAGAACTTCCAAAACATTTAAATATTTTCCTGATTTGGGTGAATATAATATTGAAAATTACCTGTATATATATTTTCTCCCTCCACCCATAAAACTCAAATCAAACTGACTTTAGCTGTGCTCAGCATTCCTTCTGAAATAAAAACTTGCATTCAACACATCACTGTTTTAAAGCATGCTGTCATATCTTGGTATTAGTACACATGAGCAATGAAGTTTTGCAAATGTATAAATTCTTAACATTTAAAGAGATGTAACTATATGAAGGTGTGTGTGGACGCACACATTCTTAACACCGTAACAAGGCAAAGAGGAGTGTCATTTAGGGAGTGATTTTGTTGAAGTTGGAATAAATTGGGAATGCAAGTTAACTCTAATTCCTGTGTCCCACATTTTCACCCAAGAAAAAGATTGAATGCCCCCATTATTTCTTGTCTTGAGAATCTTCATGGAAACTTTTGGTCTGTTTTTAACAGTCAGTTCTATTCATTTTATTCTTTAAAAAATAAATATTCTTAAAAGTTTTTTCATAGCCAATACTCTGATACCATGTCTAACATGCCTGCCCTAAACTTACTTTATGATAAGCCAGTAACTAGATTTTTATTAAAAATAACAGGGCATCTAGGTTCCTAACCTGCTCAATTATAGCATGTTGATCAGGAAGATAACAGTCAAAAGGCCTTTCTCAAAATACTTGTTTGTTTGTTTTTATTGTGATTTGGGTGAAATTTTACAGAGCATATCACTTTTCTATTCAACAACTTACACATTTGGTTGTTGTTGCAATCACCTCAATGCCTTCTGAACTTTATTTTGGGGTCAGTGCTACCATTTGGGGTCCTATGATTGATTGTTCTGAAGACTGCATCCCTCACAGGTGTTATTGTTCGCTTTATTGAGCTGTCATTGTTTGACTGAAAGGCTATCCCCAGAAGCGGGTTTAGTTCCAGGTCTGAAGAATATCTGTGGGCCCTAATATCAGCTTTTCTGCCAGTAGGTCTGGCCTTTCTTAGAAATTTTTTTTTTTTTTTTTTCCTGATCAGAGTAGTCAGTTATGGTTGCTAGGTGTCATAAAATGCACCTATCTTATTCTCAATAAAAGATGTATTTAAGTCGAGTCGTTATTACACAAAGGCATGTTGCTATGCTTTATGATATTTTATATGTCTTAAATGTTATTCTTAGCTATACCTTTTGATTAGAGCTATAAATACTTTGGGAACATATGATTAGTTTTGCTCCCATGACTTCCTTAATATTTCATGACCCCTTAAACTCTAGTCAGAAGACCATTGTCCCTCAAAAGGTGAAAAAGTGCCCGAACTTCTGGCTTTACCTGAAAAGACTTGCCTTTGCTTACTGAAAGCCAAGGACTTATGCTCAACCCTGAAACATATGATACAGGGAAGAGTGGAGAAAGTCCAATTTGACTGTCCATGGGTTCCTTTCTCTTGTTACTGCTGATCACCTTGTCTAATTGTTGTCTGTGGCATTATTAATACAAGACAGAAAACTGTAGTTCTATAAACTCATTTGAAGGGTAATGAGAGGAAGATGAAGGCAGATGTTAAATGAGCCCAGTCTTTTTACCTTGAAAAATTAAGAGCTATGTGGTGGAGAAACATAGCTCTCTGAGCTCCTAACCACATTGGCCACTTCCTGTCCTGTTATCATTCCCTTTCCTCCTCAAGACACAGGGTTGACTTATGGGCTCTATCCTTTTGTTGCAGTCTCTGTTTGATGAGTATCTTCAGGATGTCTGCATTGTGATATACACGTGACTTCAGGGACCAGATTCCCCACCCACCCTTCAGCCTATTTCCATAAATTAGAATCTGGGATCAGTATCTTCAGGGGCCTCCCATTAGCGATCAACTGCATGATTCCTTATTCTCTGCCATTACTCTATTGTAATGATTTTTCAACTCTAGAAGAGGCTCATACTTTTTTTTTTTTTCATAAACTAACATAAGGAATTGATTTTTTTGAGAGATGACCTAAAATAATTGTATTTCTATCCTATCAGTTACTAGATTTCAATGAAGACCTAAGGTGCGATACTATTATGAATATTTATTTAACATTTCTCTAGGATTTTGAAGTTCTTTATTGTTGAAAACCTAATGTTTTCACTACCATTTCACAGAAGAGAAAATTCAGGTACCATAAAGTGGCATATTTTAGTGTTGGACTGTTTGGAACACAAAGACTATGTGATATATAAGCCTTTCCCTGTAGGAGACACATTACCACCTGTGTGTCTTTCAGGAAGCATCAAGTTGAAAATTCATGACTCAACCCTGAGGTTCTTTCTATTTCAACCCCCATCAATCAAGAGAAGGCAAAGTTTGTCTCTTGTCCACCTTGTTGATATTCAAAGGGATGTAAGAGAGCATCTTGTATGGAAATTGCAAACTAGGGGACTGTGGACAGACTCTTGCCTCCAGTCTGGTGGTGTTTAACTAATATTCTAAGTGGTTTTTATTATTATAACTTTAGGGAGACATTCGATCTCTGTGTCATAGGCCATACCACTCCCTGTGGTCTGAACACACTGGTGAATTTATTTATTTAGGTTATTTTACTGACCCTCCTGAGAAACATTTTCTTTTGTAACCTCTCCATTTGGGATGTGGAGAAACAAACTGAGGGTCTAAGAAGAGCTGGTGTGGCACTGTAGGATAAGCAATGAACTGCTAACTGCAAGGTCAGAAGCCCAAACCCACCAGCTGCTTTTGGAAACCCTATACAGAGTCGCTATGAGTCAGAACTGACTCCACAGCACACAACCACAAGTTGAAACGGACTTGCTTTGGGTACCATGGTGATAGAAACAGGTCTAGAACTCTGGTTTCCCAGGCTCTTTCAGTTGGCTGTGGTCAACTCCGTGGTCAAGACCATTCATATTTTAAAGAAAGCCTACTGGGGGAAAGATCTGTCTCTTCACCTTTTTTCCTTTTGCTTCACTTACTTTCAGAAGAAACATGGATTAATAAGGTGCTTCAGTCCTGGTGTGAAGCTGTAGGATGAGCACTGGACTGCTAAACTGCAAGGTTGGCAGTTCAATCCCACCAGCCACTCCTCAGGAATAGGTTGTTATGCATCAGAACCAACTCTACTGCACTTAACAAAAACAATACCTTATTGTTGCTGTTGTTTTGTTGTTTGGTGCCATGAAGTTGGTTCCAACTCAAAGCAACCCTGTGTACAACATAACAAAACTCTGCCCAGTTCTGTGTCATCATAACAGACATTGCTATGTGTCAGCATACTGTTGCGGTCACTATGTCAGTCCATCTCGTTGAGAGTTTTCCTCGTTTTTGCTTACTCTCGACCAAGAATGATATCTTTCTCCAGGGAGATAACATGCCCAAAATACATGAGAAAGAATCTTGCCATCTTCTCTGGTAAGGAACATCATGGCTGTTTATCTAAAGATTTGTTTGTTTTTCTGGCTATCAATGGTATATTCAATATTCTTCACCAACACTGTAATTCAGAGACATCAAGAATTCTTTGGTCTCCCTTATATATGTTCCAGTGTTCCCATGCATTGTTGTTAAGTGCCGTCAAGTCGGTTCTGACCCATAGTGACCCTGTACAGGGTTTCTGAGGAGCAGCTGGTGAGCTTGAACAGCCAACCTTGCAGTTCAAATGGCTTTGCAGTCTGGCGCATTAACCCACAGCGCCACACCAGGACTCCGTTCCCATGCATATGAGGCCATTAAAAGCACCATGGCTTGAATCAAGTGTACCTTAGTTCTCAAAGTGCTATTAATGATGTTTTATAATAATTTCTAGAACCTATTCGATCACCTTCCTTTGGAATGGGCACAAATATGAATCTCTTCCAATTGGTTGGCCAGGTACTTGTCTTTAAATTCCTTGGCATAGAGCAGTGAATGCTTCCAGTGTTGCATTCATTGGTTGAAACATCTCCA